TATATATATATATATATATATAAAACATCATGTATGAAATGTGTTAATTTAAGTAAAGTAATCATCGAAATATGATGACACTAATAAACATTTCCTGCCTAACCAGATAAAACACCTTTGACCTCCATTTACATTGCCTGTAATTTAACGAAAAGACGGTGTTTTTTAGAACTTACTTTTGTTCTAGTCTAATGTGATAACCGACTGTTCCACCCACACGTTCGTTACGTTCCCTAGCTACTCGTTCTGCAACTGCCATTGCCGGTAAACGGCGAGGTTGTGTACAAATTATCTTTATCGGAATTCCATTTTCGCAGGCGTACTCAAGAAGAAATTGCGGGACCTACAAAAACAAATCTTTTTACTTGGAAACTTATATATACTAAAATGCTTTTTTTTGATCAATAATTACTGTAATATATCTCACACACTGAACGTACCTGTGTAGTTTTTCCACACCCGGTTCCACCAGTAATTAATGTGACCTTATGAGTTTCAATGGCAGTCACAATTTTCTTCTTCAAAGCAAAAGTTGGCAAAGACATCCTTAAACTACGCATCTGCGGCGTCTCATTAGCCTTGGGAGGGATTAGCATAGGTTCATTTGATCGAGTGACTTCTGTTCCCCTGTCTCTTTTTACTAAAAACAGATTACTTTTTACTACTTGAAATTCAAACTGAAAAAAAACGAAAGGAGAAGAAGTGTTTCTTCTTGACTCGCTACAACAAGAACATTGAGGGAGCCATAAGGTAGAAAAAGAGAAAACAATGACTCATTAATACTTGCCACATAGGCTAGACTCCAAATGCTGTTCGATAGAGCTCCTATCAATAGGAAATTCTGCACAATGTCGAGATATCATTTTACGCTGTGAATCTGTGAGACTTATAGGGAGTATCTCAGGAGCGAGGATATGACTTCCACCAATGCGAAAATACTTTCTTGATACAGTTATCCTTCGGTTACCTTCCATTCTGTAAAATTAAGAAGGTTTATACTTACAACGAGAGATGTCTATAACTAAATGAAAAGGAACACAAAAACAGAATTTCTTTAAACAAACCCAAAACTGCTAGATTTAAGCTCCATCCGGTTTATAATTCGATGAGCTATACGACGTTGCTCCCGATTCATTGGTTCCAATTTAAGTTCTGGAAAAAACATTTGAACTTCGTCAACTCAGACCATTTGAGTCCATTAATGAAAAAATTTATAAAGAAGACTAGCAGAGTTAGGACGGAAGAGGAATAAAGATAACTGAAAAGAAAAATTCTCAGAACGCCCTAAAGCGCTGCAAAAATTGCAAAGGATTCTAACCCATTTCATCACTGAGCTTGAACTTTTCCAGTTTTTCTTTCAGGGCAGATTCGAATTCTGAATCGTTAAGGTAAGATATTGAAATCTGTGGCTGGTAACTCGAGGTTTGCTGCAGTTCACAGCTTGAAGAAGCGGAGACATCATTAGGCATCATATAGTTCCCACTTCTGAAAAAATAGTATTTACTGAAAAGGTTTACAGCGGAAAGGCGCTAGACAACAAACAAAAACTCAACAAAACAAAGCGAAAACACTTCAACCTGAAACAGTTATTAAAAAAAGGTAACTAAGACGAAATAACAATAGCAACAAAAATTTTTTAAGTCCCGTAAGGAATCTATTCAACAGTAATACATTTTTCACGATATGATTCTACGTAGCCTTTTTAAATAAAACTGCACTTCAAAACAGTTGATAAAATCCTATCCAATACAGCATAAAATAAATTCATCGAAAATAAGTAATGGTTACGAGAAAAGCAACTAAAAAGTCAAGAACAGAAACGATACGACAAGAAATAATTGTACTCAACAAATAACCTCAAAAAAAATTCTGAATAACGAAGCTTCTTCCAACCATACTTCTTTACAAATATGTGGGAAAATTATTCTTCGCAATGAACAGTGAAGCTTCAAATGGCTCTAAATTTAAGAGCTTTAAAGTCCGTAGAAAAATCGATTGTTAAAGGAAGTAAGAAAAAAAGAAAAAAAAAATGATGTAAAAAAAGTGCTAAAAAGCAAATGTAAAATGAAAAAAAAAAAGAAACAAACTCGAAGGTGATAGCAATATAGATAGCCCAAAATAAAAAAAATAAAAATAAAAAAAAATTTTTTTCTTTCGCAGAAACAGTATGGAAAGAAAAATAAAGTGCTGAAAAAGAGCAATAAAACAAGTTATATCAATAGCAGGAACGAAATACACTTGAAGTGCCGAAGTAACATCAGTATTCAGAATGCAAAATTGTATTTCAGAAAAGCTTCAAACTGTTATAATTGCAAATGATTCAAAGTTTGTTGTTCAAAAGGACGAAAGTAAAGCAAAATTATAACAACTTTATTCGGAATGTTTTTAAAAACGCAGGGGAAACAGATGTAACAGCTAAGTGAAATCCTTCTACCTAAGATTCGCATCTACGATAACGACAATAAGGTTAGGAAAGAACAATGGCATGCAAAAAACATAGCACACGCAAACACACATCCATAAATACACAAAATAATATTCGATATTTTCATCTCACTTGTCGTCAATTTCCTTACGGAATCATTTAGAGAAAAAAAAAGCAAAAGAGACGGGGAAGGGGGGGAAGGGGGGGAGGAGGCAGAAAAATAATACCAGGGTAATTTACTCACTTCACTATTACCAACAAACCAACAAAC